CATTTGGTTCTGCTCCTTGGCGCGACCGATAGATAGAAATAATGATTTTCTTGAAAAAATAGAAATAATGATTCAAAACGATAGCGATGGGCTTTTCCAGCGTGATAAGCACGGAAGTTTTACCAATTTCGGCCATCATCGCTTTCCTTACATGCAGTCCCACATGTAAGCGATATGCCTAGCCACTGTGCGTTGAGCGATGGGCCGGAACGACCATCTGGGGTGCGACGCGAACGGGGCTGTATGTGTTCTAGTTTCTCGTTTTGAACTTTGTCGGGGGATTGATTCTGAGCTACGAGAAATCCTCCAATACCCTGGTTCGAACTTTGGGGACTTGGCTTGCAACCACGAAGCTACGAGCTAGGAGCGAGGCACGACAAAGACACAACGAACTACCCAGGTTCAGGCCAGCGTGCGGTGTAAAACCCTACTCCTGCTTGGTGGAATTTCTTGTAGACAATGCTCTTGGAGCTACAAGATGAGCCGGAGCTCTTGGGGGTCTACAATGGTGCAAGGGGTCGATCGATGTTCTCATCCTTCTCTATGGTGGCAGCAATGTCCCTTTTATAGGTGCCTTGGACCTCTTCCCCGAAAATATGAGCGGGAAGTGGCTACCATAGGGCGGCAATTTGAAAGGGGACAGACGCCGGTGCTTATCCTGACAAAAGGTGGTCTTCGCCTGCCAAAGGCATTATCCATGACGTGCAGGGGGCTCCACGATGACTTCCGTCCTACAGCTCACCCTCCAGGTCTTCTTTCACCAAGGCGGAAAGTTTTGGGACTTGCTTTGGGGGCAGGCAGGATCAGCTACTCCCTTAGCACCGAAGGGGAAACTGCCCCGTCCGCACAGGCTGGCGCCTGTCATCACCCACATGACGGGCCCGCGACCCGCGTCGCGTGGGCTCCTCGGAAGGCCTCGCGGGGTGGAGCCTCGCAAGGGGTGGCATCACTAGGCCACCTACTGTTGTGGTACTTGGTGAAGTCCATCGTCGGAGAGCCTCTCGCGGGGCAAGGCCCTTGCGAGGTTGCTGGCTTCGCGGCGCCCGCTGCCAGGCCGCCTCTTGAGTTGGGACGGGGGCCTTCCTGGGCCGCAGGCAGATGGCCCATGGTATATTGGTTCCGGCTGGGCCGACAAACTTGTGAAGTGTAACACTTATTACAAGTTTGATAGGTTGGGTCATGCATGGTATGTAAACTATGAAAATGATGTAGAAGGTGAGCAAGGGATCACACACGTCAATCCTGTATGGCAACTCTAGTTTATATTTCTTTATGGAGGGAGTTTTTTTTTTGCCCATTTTTTTTCTTTTTCTAGGCTTTGTGGGCTTTTAATTAGCGACAGGGTTTTCCCTTTAAAAAGACTAGCGACAAAGGGGTTCGGGCTGGGATGTTTTCAGATCGAACGGATCGATCCCCCCCGTGCAGCCGAACGATCCGTTCATACTTGTGCGTCCCAGTCCGAACGTTCGGCAATTATCGTGTTCCTTTTTTTTCCTTCTCTCAAATATTATGCCGTGCAAGGTGCAACCGTGAATCGGACCTGGATAGTCGGACGGGCTGGCAGGCACGCGTGTCCCATCCCGAGTCGAATCGGGATTCGGGAGACCGCAGGAGCGTACCGGCCGATCTATATATACGGACGGGTCGACTTGAGGCCGTCGACAAACGAGATCTAATGGCGATACCGATCATGGCGGCGCGGTTCAGCGACGAGGACATCCAGTCCATGTTAGAGGAAGGCATCGACCCACTTCTGGCGGAGAGCCTGAGGAAGCTGCAGTGCAGGGTGAGCGACATGCTAGAGAACACCACGGAGTTCCCCTCGCTCGCGGCGCTCGACTGGGCGGACGGTGTCGAGGCCAGCACCGTGAGGGCCGCCCAGAGCATCTCAGAGGACGCGGAGGACTACCGGGACGGGGCGGAGATGGTCTCCAGGAGGCCGGGCGAGGAGGCGCGCGCGGCGGCGGCGACGCTGCGCGACCATGCCGCGTGGGCGTTCGCGCGGCTCGCCGAGGCCCAGGAGGTCCTGGCCTCCACGCGGCGCCTGCGGGACAGGCAGATGAGGGAGGTCGTGGCGACGGAGAACCAGATGGTCCACCACGCGGCCAACGAGTTCCTGCAGTTCGCGGCCAAGGAGACGGACGGCGGGCAGGTGCCCAGCGGCCTGGAGGCGGGCGACGCGGCGAGGGCCGAAGCGGTGGACGCCGTGGCCACGGCCGAGGGCGCCGGCGCGCGGTTCGCGGAGAGGTTCGTCGCGCTGGCGGGCAAGATCAGGCGGGCCGCGGCGTCGCCGGCGTACGCGGGCGAGGAGGCGCTGGTGGAGACGCTGCAGAGGCAGGCGGCGGCGGTGGAGGCGCTGTGCGCGGACCCGGACGCGCTCGTGCCGAAGATGCTGGCCACGGGGTCGTGGATGCTCTTCAGGGCTATGAACGGGATCCCGTTCCCGCTGGAAGACGAAGCCAAGTGTTGACCTGCAAGTGCAAGGCAATGGCTATTGACTGATAGATTGTGAATGAACGAATTTAAACGACAGGCGCTACATGTATTTCGATCAAAACGAATAAAACTTGTGAATTCTATTGGTTGTGAGGCTCTTATGTTGTTATTGATTGTCAATTCTATTGTTATTATTGATTGTGAATTCTATTGTTATTATTGATTCATCATTCATGCATGATCATCCCAACTTGTACACAACACATGCATGCATCTCCTAGCCCGAGAGATTGAAAAAACGTTGCTATTATTCCCTGCATTCCCACCTCTTATGATGAACACCCTCCTGGCTGGTTGGCTGGTGGTCAATACGATTTCCCAAACAGGTCGATCAACCTCTGCCTTCCGAGACCTATAACTGGCTAAGAAGAGCTTCATTCTCCTCCTGCCTCTCTTCTTCCCTACATAGGCGTCATGGCCAAGAACGGCTTTGCCTTTTTCGGGCCCGTCTTCATCCCATAGCTAGGTTCACTCATCTAATTGCCTTTGGAGATTTCCTTGAGATTCAGATTCGATTACAGCTAGCGTTGGCAGGCTTCGAGCCCGTACCAGGAGGGGGGCTATAGCGCACACGCAATCGACATGAACAAAACAGCCAGGTAAGAAGAGCCTTCCGCATGCATGCCGAGCAAGCTCCGCATGCACAATGCGTCAAATGCAGCTGGGGATTCTGCATTTCCTTCTCGTTTCTCAGGATCATAAGAACGCTATGCGCTTCTCGTAATCCTGGTTCGAGGCCATAACTATCCAAGCTAGAACAGGGGTCGACGCTCCCTCTGTTCTGCCCACCTTGATTCAGATTTCAGAACCACGCTGACTTACATGGTCCGCATCTATTCAGGGCGTTCTGCTTATCGCGTTCTCCGGAGTTTCAGTAGGCGTCATGGGAGAGGAGAATGCTGCATCCGCGAATGTAAGCGTTTTTCCCCCAATAATGAACTCGCAGGAATCTGAGTCCATGTTCATTCACTCATTCCAAAGTTCCATTTCCACACATGATCCTCCTCTGTTCTGTCCATTCACGGAGGAGCGCCTGCTGCCTGTTCCCTGTGCAGAGCATCACGGTGAACGTGAGAGTATACATGCACTGCGACGCCTGCGAAAGGTTGGTGCGCCGCACCATCAAGAAAATAGATGGTACTAAACATAAGGACTTACTACTGAATTCCACGCCTGTTCATGTCATGGGGAGTGAACGCCTGATGATCGTCCATGGTTGCAGGCGTGGAGACGGTGGAGGTCGACAGGGACGAGAACAAGGTGACGGTGACGGGGGATTTCAAGGCCGAGAAGGTGCTGAGGAAGCTCAAGAAGAAGACCGGGAAGAAGGCGGAGATTCTGCCTCCGGACCCGGAGGAAGAAAACCAGGAGGAAGAGAAGCAGGAACCCGGCGAGGATGCTTACGCTCCTTACGGTTATTACGGCCGTCCGGCGCCGGACATGGACGCTGTTCTAGGTAATGAGTTCCAGAGGCCGCCGCGATGGGACCTCCACTATTTCGACGACGAGAACACGGAAGCGTGTAGGATCATGTAGGGAGTAATGCTAGAGCAGCATCTGATTTCGGGGCGGTAATATGTGTTTTCCTTGGTTCTCTTAAGTTATTACTACTTGAGTATTGTTACTTATTCTCATATCAAGTTGGCCTATTAGCTCAGCTGGTTAGAGCGTCGTGCTAATAACGCGAAGGTCACAGGTTCGAGACCTGTATGGGCTACTATTTTTTTTCCCCTTTTGCACCGGCCTTTTTTTTCAAACTGACATATCTACAGGTGCAGTATTGTTTCCTGAGTACAGGTGCAGTATTATTTCCATGAACCTGCTGGTAAAATAAAAAGATTACACATTTGGGATGGAGGGAGTATTACATGTCGCCTGGTGCAGTTTTTATTCTCTGAGCAGTTCATATACTGGTGCAAATGTTGGGCTTCTCTTGGAATAAACACAAGCCAAAACAAATGGCATTTCCCAACTACAAGCACTGAACAGTACTAACTTGAGGTGTCTCCGCCCTTCAAAGAAAAACTGAAGGTGTCTCCATGCTAACAGAAATATTGCACATTCCGAACATTTGACGGTACCAAGCACTAGCTCTAAGAAGATGTGCGTCATCTTGAAAATAAAGACGAAAAGTAAAGCAAGATCTGTCTCCACGAGCCAGCTGGTAAAAATAGCTTGAAGCTCCATACTGTGAATCAAACTGCAGATGTGTGCATTACTGAATTCCGTCGAAGGCAGAAACCGCCTTCTGATCTACAGCCACAACACTACACTGAATGTCTTCAATATACGTACGTTACAATAAAGCTTCATATTTAAACAATGTATACTAGTTACATTTATAAGGAATCTACAGTGTCTAGAGTAACTATACTTCTACTGGGACAACTCATAATACACTGGCAAACATTACACGTGGACCCGTACAGCTAACATTGCTCGGTGTGGTAAAAATGTCGTCTGCTGCACATAATTTTACCTGCAGAAGCAAACTGCTTGCCAAGCTATCGTGCGGTGGTCGCGGCTCGAGAATCCTGCCAACCCAATTCGCGAGCTCGACGTTCCCACAGTGATGTCAGTTTCCTCTCCTTTGAGATTGCCCCCTCAGACTTCTCCCTGGCTTCCTCACAAGTCTCTGTGGCCGCGTTACACTTCTCCGCCTCTCGCTGGTACAGGGTAGCCTGCCTTTTTGCCTCGACAAGTGTGGCATTCATGTGATGGATGTGCTCCTCAGCTACAACCTGCTGCAGCTTGAGTTCCTCGTTGAGGAGATCAACAAACTGCTTCTCCATCTCCTTGGTACGCTCAGGGTCATTTGTGCCGCAAGCTGCATATTCAGTTCAAATTATTTTTTCCAGTCAACATAGCCTCATAACAGATGCAACCATGTCAAAAGGAATTTACAACAAAAGTTCCAGCTCACAAGAACTTGGGCAGCAATATGGGAGATGGTTTACACTACTGTGTTCTTATAGAGCATTTGTAATTGTACAATCGAAAGGATGAGTTATGTAGGTTAAAGCCATGTGTGCAGGTGTGGTGCTAGTTTTGTGGTTGATAAATAACTACCGACAAAAAAGGTATACTTTGTCAGCACTTGGTAAGCAGCACAGCACGTGAAAGTGCAGGGGAGTAATCACCCCTGACTAGAAATAACAGGAAGTAATCCATGTTTGGTTTTAATGTTAATGTGCTACTGGAAATAGTAGGAAGTAATCCATGTTTGGTTGCAAAAAGTTAATGTATTATGGGACAAACCCAGAAATTGGATGGTATTGCACATAAGAAGTACAACCTCTGTTCCTAAATATAAGAAGTTTTGGCAGTTCAATTTACATTAGTGAACAGAGGTAGTAATAGTTAGACCTGAGCTTGTGAGCATATGATGCATACAAACAAAAATTAAGAACTACAGCATCATAAGTCCTTCTTGTGTTTGTTCACATTAGCATACCACAAAAGCATCAAAACTCTGACACGCTTTTCCCAATTATATTTGGATGATTTAGCAAATATACACTAGGTCATTCAGTAGAGTTTATCATTAGACAAATCTCACAGGTTTCATGCTAAAGTCCTTAAGAGTCAGGTCTTTCAGACACTGCAAAATGACCTATGGCCAGCCTGATACTTAACTCGCCAGTAGTTTAAGAGAGCAATATATGAACATAAAACAAACTGGGGGTAATATTTTACATAACACTTCATAGAGTATTACTTATGTTTTGGTTAACATAAAACTTCAGTACTGCCGACAGGCACTACTTTTCAAACAATTTGGCAACGGGAATTGTGAAGAATGACACCATTAAAATGACAGGCATGCCAATAACCCTGGACGTCTAACTTGTGTCGAAGGGTGATAAGATTCCAGAAAAATCTAAAGTTGCAGGTGGAACTGTCTGGTACAGAAAATGTCATGATCAGAACTTCACAAGTGACGTCGTTCTCCATCAGATGTCAGCTATACTCTCTCTTGTTTTAGTTCATACTCAACCAATTAGAATGAGAAGACTGGATAATACTGAACCTCTATTAAATGGACTGTGAAGAAGGAGCTCAAACCTGAAATTGAGAAGTTCATGAGCCCTGCAAAGGAAGGAAATGTAAAACCGTGTCAGACATGAGTTTATCGACCCAGTTAAAAGCATATACAGTAAATCGTCTATTGCTAGAAGAGAATTCAGTTCGCCGACACTCATAAGCAACCGCATCCACCTAGTTAACACTAGTCTCAACTCTCAACCGACGGGCCCGTTTTGGTTATGTAGATAATCGCGCGTCGGTGCGAGATCTGAAGAGAGGGCGGGGGTGGGCGCTCACCGGGCGCGATGGACTGGAGGGAGAGGGGCGGCGGGCAGTCGCAGGTGCAGGGCGGGCAGGAGGGGGCGGAGACGGCGGCGGCGGCGGGGGAGGAGAAGCCCTTCTTGTAGCGCCAGTAGAGCGCGGGTCCGGAGACCCCGAGCGCGGAGGCGACGGCGAGGATCACCAGGCACCAGCGCCCGCACGCCGCCACCGCCGCGCGTCGCCCCCCGACTGCCATCGCGCGCGCTCGGGCTATGTGTCCGCGCGCCGTGCTCGTGCCTGCCGGATTCTACCGTCGCGTCTCGGGGGCGGGGCGCGCGCTTGCGGTGGTTTTCTCGTGTTGCTGTGGCCTGTGGGGGCGTAGGGCGATGGTGGTGCTGGACCTGCTGGTAGTACCGGTGGTGGGGGTGATGGCAGTGGGGTGGGTACTGGGCAGTGAAGGAGTGTGTGTGAGTGGGAAGCGAGCTAACTGCGGGTGGGTGGGCAGTGAAGGTCCCGGGGATCGGCCGTCGCGCTCGTGCACTGGATTGCGGCCTCTTGGCTTCACCGGCGCGTTCCGTCTACGTGGAGACGGACCCGAAATTTTGACAAGTCCGGAGAAAACGTCGGGTCGCAAGCCAGCTTCGTTTCTTTCGCCCGCAGACGGTCGGTGTATCTCAACTTGCGCCCACATCGTTTGGGCCTCTTTAATCCGTAACCGCGGGATTATCAAAACGCAGGAATAGAAGAAAAAAAACGCAGGAACAAAGTAGGTGGATGAAAATTTTCCTTCAAAATGCAGTACAAATGGACCATATGGAAAAAAAACCCTAACAATTTCAATCCTGCGAATTAAACTACCATCACAGGACAAATTCCCGAGGGTTCAAATCCTTCCAAAATCCTATGAAATTCCTTCGAACCAAAGAAGCCCTGGCCTCCTCGCCAAGTGGATGCAGTGGTGCTTCGAGGCGGGTGTTAGTGGTGATGCACGACAGACATTATTAGTCTGCAGTGGTGCTTCTCTACGCATGAAATGGAACGCAGGTACCAGACCAGTCATCACGACGTTGATAACATAACATGTGCTACCCAGTTTGGCCGACCACGGTATAATAAAAAAGATAAAGAAAAAAGGTTTGGCCAACCACGCACGCACACAACAAATGGACAGAACAAACCACGGATCGCAACTGAGGCTTCCACTCTGATTCGTAGCCAGGCTCTTGAAGCTACAGGCTTACTACATCGGCGACTCGTCTCAAACAACACAGCCCAGTTCCTGACGCACACATAGCCTGAGCATGCTGAATCGCAGCACACAAACACACCACCAGTCCACCAGAGTATGTATAATCAAACAGTTACACCAGCCTACAGCACCAGCTAATTAAAGCCTAACCAAGCATCTACTACATGACTACATCCACCTCGTGGAAGCATAATGCTGTATGTAACACAAGTGTTCAGTTCAACCACAGGACCGTACACCAGCGTCGACGGCAGCAAGCGCACTGCCACGCCGCAGAATCGCACACGCACACATGCAAACTTTGCAACCATCTGAACATGGAACCCCTGAAGAAACTCACTGGTCGATTCCGACGCCGAGAATGCACTGCGCGAGATGGGTCAGGTACGGTTCGGCCTGTGAGCTCTTGCTCAGCGTAGGAACGAGGCTCTGGAGCTCCGCGTTGAACTCCGACTCGAATTTCCTGCGGCAGACAAGGCAAGATGGTGTGTTACAAACCTGAACTGCGTAGGAACAAAGACTTTGTAAAATTGACTGGGACATTGAGATAAGTACAGGATTGACTGCGACATCACGGCGTTCTCGGATGCTAGTTTCAGTTGCTCGTCTCTGTCCTGTGATCTCTTGGCTCTTGCTCTCGACGACAAGGATTTCGATTTGCTCTCAGGAGCAGCCACCTCGATGGACGGTATCAAGAGCTGGATGGAAGTCGCGTATTGAAGACATAATGCTTTCAGCTTCTCAACTTTCTGCACATCACAGATAAATGGATAATAAGTTCTTGCTTTTTTGGCAAGCAGGATGCCAAATGGTGCCCGCTTCAAAATATTGTTTAGAGACCATATATAGCTATGTATTCCCAACAGATTATGCACATCCTACAGTTGACAGTTCGAAAAGATGCACACGGGTTAACAAATTGCAAAACTCAGTCCCATCCGACAAACCAAAGGTATAACTTTTATGACTCCTAAATGGATAACAAGGATGAGATAAGCATTGCGTCTTGTTGGAATATGAGCTAAAGGTTGAACCATGGCCACATGTAGATAATTCACAACATTCAAGTTAGGAGACACGATACCTTCACCCTTTACAGGTCAAGCATGTACAGATCATGACAACAAGCAGTCAAGCGTGATCATTGAATTAAGCACATAGTTCGTCAGCAGTTTAAAATGAAGAAAGTGGACAACACTTATTGATGCATAACAATTACTTTTGAAGTGTAATTTCCTTTTATTTTAAACAAACAGACAAAGAGCAAGGACAGACCATGAGGAGCTCAGGCAACAACAGCAAGCATTCTTTTAGACACTTCTGGAGGAAGAAATCGTGTATCTGGATGACCTGCAATCAGCATCACAGCAAAAGTAATGTAATCTGTACTGTTGGAGGTGCAGTTAACTTAATCATAAGGACATGGTTAAAACCTCATCGATGCTCCTTGCAGTTTGAAGGCGGCCATGCATTGAATGCCAGTTTGGTTCAAGAACCTGAGGGCCAAGGAGTAATTAACAATTTTCTCACCTTCAGTAACAGTTGGTATGGTGAAACTGGTATGGATGGTTTACCTCAAAAGTTAGATAATGTAGAAAGCTGTTTACAAACTTGAGCATGCTGCGACAAAGAATCGATGACCGCAGAATTGGTGTTCCAAGAATCTTGACAGACCGGAAACCCTGTTTGAGAGGTTGACATCAGTTGATGTGAGTACGTAAACAAAAATAATAATGTAACTAACTTAATGGATATATAAGGTTATGTCATACTTGTTGGATCTGCCACGCTTGACACAATTGGCGACTAACATGTTTGCAGTGAAACAATAGACGAAAGATCAATTGATACTTTGTTAAAGCCTTCCTCGAAATTACAAGAGATAGTGGCCATGGAATCTGCAATATCGATCAGGTATATCATTTCACTATCACAGGATAAATGCAATGAGAAATGCTTAAAGAAAATACAAACAGAAACCTTGTAGCCAAGGCAGAACGTTTCCAAGCCAGTTATGTTTAATGTCATGGGCTGATCAACATCAGCTGCAGCAAGCTTGTCTGAAGAGTACGCACAGTCCAAGTCTTTCAGGGTTGTCAGTTTTTTAAGCAGGGAACTTCTTTCCTGTTTCATAAGATATGTGAATATGATAGTCAACGGATACAGTATGATTTGACTAGACTCAGATAATAGACTTACAACGCAACAAGTCAAATCTTCATGACTTGGATCGGAAGCAGCTGCTGTACTTCGCAAGGCGATGTCAACAAGAGACTGGTGTAGATAATGAATAAAGAGAGAATAACACAATGACGGAGAGTTAGCTTATCAATTATCATGACAAGAGCTGCCAAAAATCTGTTTTCACCATGACGAGAAACAAAGAGACAACAACATAGCACAAGAGGAACCTGAAGTTTTTCAACGGATATATCTTCTGGTTTCTTTGTAAGCTCCTCTCGGGCAATATCCATAAAATGAACCAAAAAATCACCCTGTAAAACTAAAGGAAACAAATTAGATAACTAGTGCGAGAAAAATAAACATGAATGTTTAAAATCAAGTTGGGCAACATGAATCCTTCTCACTATTAAGGCATTCATAAAACAGAATGCACAAAGAATGTGGTTTTCTGTATTTTAACAGACTACGCGCACATAATATGCAAAATCATAAAGCCCATGTGTAGATGTATATCAGATGCAAGTCAATAAGTACACTCATATATAGTAATAACACAAAATTATGAAAAGTAAATGTTACGCATACTTGGTCAAGAAGTAGATAGCGCTTCAATGATCGCAGTTTCCCAATGAGATCATACTGTAAATATGTACACTGAATTTAGCAAGTGATCTTAGAAGCGAGTGAAATGCAACAGTATTTTAACTACAAACAGTCATTACCTTATCTTTCATTAGAGTCAAGAGCTCACCACTTGCAAAATCATAAGCAGATTTGATGCACTCAAGATATTGGTGGTTTGAACCAAAGCTTGTCAGCTTAGAGTTTTCTGACAGGGAAACCTAAATAAAATATCCAACATAAGTGTATTTTGTCAACACAGATATAACATGATACTCTATCATTCAACCGAAGAATAATCATACGTACCTGAACATTGTGCCCACATTCTCTCATAACATTAAGATACTTTCCTGTTGTCAGAATGGTGGCAGCAACATTATTGAGAAAACTAGGGATGCCATCTTTTAGGCTGTACCGTTGCTGCCAATATTTAGCATCATAATCTTGAGTGAGACTCTCCTATACCAAAATAAAAGAAGAAGGCAAAGCACCTGATTAACTTAAGACACAAATATGCCCAGCATTTTAGGTAAATACAGAGAACAGTGGACGTTAAGTAGATCCAAAATTTTACAAGTCAATAAGTACCTTCTGCAGAGATTTGTTTTCAGCAATGAAGAATTCACCATAAGGGTCATCTATGACACCCTCATATACCCATCTAAAATGACGATCAGAAAGTGAAATTAATGACGCTGCAAACAAGCTTACTAACATTTTATTTTCTAAGCAACACTCAATATTAAAAGTCCAAAGAAGACACAGCTAGCCAATATAGAACTTTTATGGATTGAGTAAGTGCCTCAGTCCTAAAACTGAATGATAAAGATAGTTACGAACCATCACAAACCTTTCCAACATCCTGAGGTATGCTGCACTTGCACAATCAGTCATCTTCTCCAGTAATGACCGAACAGCACTATCGCCAGCCATCGCCTTTGCCTAAGTAGAAAGATATGATGATTAAATTACATGATAAAAGAGATAATCGTGTAGACTAAGCTAAACAAGCTATGAAGAACTGGGCATTAAAAGATTAGTTCTATAGAAGTTGTTCTATCACTGGAAAACAAAAGAGGAGCTGGCCAGGTCTGTTTGGCTCAGATTTAGGATGGAAAGGGTAAATGTGCTTATCAAGGATCTAAAATATAACCTCTTTCACTAAATTTACCTGACTATGAAGTAGATTAAGTGTCGCTGAACCGCTAGTATTATTGGACATAGCCTTCTCTATTAGAACAGCCAGTGCATTCAATGAACTCATCATCCGCTGTGAAAGAAACACAGGACTTACAGTGCTTGAAACAGTAACCAGACACTGATACGTTCACAAATAATTGGTTACATGCAGATAAAGAAGAAATACCTGACAAAAGAACCATAATCCTTGAACAGAGAGCCTTCCAAGACGGAATTGATGCTCCAGTTGAGCAACCATTGCCTGATAATCCTGTTATTAAAAAATACTACACTAAATAATGCTGTGCCAAATTCACATAGAAGCACTAATACTGTCAGAGAGCTCTGTGGAGAACAATGTAACAAGGTTAATGCCTATCAGTGGGATTATCTCAATACAAGAATGAACCCTTAACACATTATACAGACAGCACTATATTCCTTCTCCCACTTTCCCAAATAGAAGAAAGGTTGTACACATGGAATAAACAAAATTATATCTCTCATGATAGGGACTATACCAGGAGGAATGCCCTTAGAGCTGCCGCTAGAGCATGGTTGACCAAACCATTTTTGAAATGTGACCTGGACTCCACAAACTGGCTTGCTAGCACGAAATCTTCACATAAGGGGAAAATTCGGCGAGTCAACTCCTGCAAGAGAAAGATTAGCCAAACTCAAATATATCCTTCCTTTTTTGGCATGGTCACAGCTTACCTGGAGTGCAAGGTCCATTGAAGAATCAATCTGGAAGACAACATATCCCTCCTTTCCGCGTACTCTCTTAATTGAAATGTATCTTCCCTCAATACCCACCAGAGCTGATAGCAAATCATCAATAACTAAAAGCTCCTGCATTTCAATCAGGGCAGTTACAATGAATAAAGTTGTTAAGCAACGCGGTTGATTGCGGAAGCTCCAGCAATTTAGCATTTCTAACTGAAAGTACAGATGTTAAGCCTCACCGGATGGCTATTTTCGGAAATGGTGTCGAAATTAAGCAATGTTCTGTGGTCTTATCACAGTGAACGTTATATTTAGTGCATCATTTCCTAAAGCGCCACAAACATACCAACCTATATGCTCTAAATGCAAAACAGAAACCACATTCGACCAGAAACTGCATATTTGTAAAAGAGACTTCCTCAAACTGTTTTCGATCCACACCAGATTGGCCATCCAATCCAAAAATAATAATGATAATTTCTAAGTAAGAATCGTTGCATTACTGGCAAAAGGAGGGCATGTCAAGTGCTGAAATCCAGGAAGTAGAAAATCTCAAAAAGCACAATCCCATACTTCAATGGAATTCCCTGCACAGTGGCTACAATCTCAAACAGCGATCAACAAAGATTTAAAGTTCACATACTAGTAAAAGACAAAAACAAAAAACACTCAAAACCCTTCTAATTACCAAATCACTGAGCTCAAATTCAAAATCAAAACCCTAGCCCCAGTTCACAAACAGTACAAGTAAAGCCAAGCTCCAACTTCGCCGGTTGAACTATTTCAAATCCCGCTTACCTGCACAGAAACAGCGTACGATCCGAGGACACTCCCAGCGCCGCCGCCAGCTCCGCGGCTGCAGATTCAAACCAACTCCGGGCATCAGAGACCACCCGGGGCAACAGAACCGCGAGGAAACCATCGACGCGGCACGAATTTATCCTCCATACGTACCTGAAGGAGTCGAGAGAGAAAGACTTGGATCCGGGCGCCTGCGACGGCGCGGACACCTTCGCCTCCTGCCAGGGCACGAGCGAAGGATGTGAGGCCGGCGTAGCAATACTGGAGGGGCGGGTTGGGTATTGCTGGGAAGAGGAAGGGCTTACCTGGTGGAAGCGTCCGGTGAGGTAGGGGCGCTCCAGGTTCCAGCGAGGGGTCGCCGGAGCGGGATCCATTTCGAGGTGGGCGGGGAGCGGTGGCGACTGGCTACGGGGACAAGTGTGGGAGAAGAGTTGAGTTAGGACAAATCCCGGCCGTTTGTTTGAAATCAACGGTACACGCCCGTCAAGTAAGCAGGGACATAAGGTTGAGACTCTGGAGTACTATTTTTTTGTCCTATATAACAATGAATACTATAGTTTATGAAACGACCTTGCTATACGTACGATGAAATCCCCGTCCAACACTTACGATTAGAGACAAAACATTGATGATTCAGTTTGTGGGTCATAGCATTAGCAGTCTAGTCGTACCAGTGTACGATGAATATGAATCGTACACAAAGCAGTTTCGTTTATGAAACATCAGTTAGTAACCTAAAATGTCTTATATTAGTTTACAGAGGGGGTACTATTTACAAAAATAGTAGCAATGTATTTGGACTCGATTGGAGGAGCGTTTGTTGCATTTCTCGGATTTTAGAAGAAAAAAAAATGAGATCTCTATCTCTCTTTTTAATACTACAAAATACCAAAAATATGGTTATGATTTATAAAAATACAAGCTTAACTAGAGCCAAACACCTCAAAGTATTTGAAAACATTGTTTTTCGAGATACTATGGTGTTCTTGAAATACTTTCAAAAAAATACTTTGCAACCAAACACACCATGGTGGATTATAGTCTCCCTCCTTTGGTCGTCCCATTTCCAGAAAAAAAAATTGCATTGCATCTAAGAGAACTATTTTTATTTGTGCAATGGTATTTTAGCAAATATACCAGGGTGCAATAATATTATATCAAGTCTGATTCGATGCAGCTGGTAAAGGCAATCTACCCAGTCATGTTGGGGAATCATCATTCATACAATTTTTGGTAAGGTAACCATTCACACCACTTATGTGATAACATGAAGGTAATCAGGCAATGCATGAGCTAGGAGTGTGTAGTGGGCCCCACAAAATATGTCCACGGAGTCGACCATGTGGGTAGAGGAACCACTTGATAAGCCCAGCTTGGCCCACACTTCATGTAAAAGTTAATTATTGGCCCGCCCCCATTACAAAAATCTAGATCATCGTTACATGAATGGTGAGTATCGTTTAATGAAGTGTACAAAGAAACAATTGCCTTTCAGCTTAACAAATGTCGCTTTCGACACATTAAGTTTTATCCCTTGTTGAGAAAACTAGGGTTTGAGCTTCCTTCGCCGATTCCGGCGACAACGCCATCACCAGGGTCTACATCTACTGTGATCATTTCTCCCTTTCCTCGTGGCAACGAAAATACTAGTCGGACCGATCCACGAGATGGTTCGATCATATGCCTGACCTTGGTATGTGTTCCTTTGGCGCTTGAATTTAAGATCATGGGGTAGTTGGGTTTCCCTATGCTCCTTTCCATGGAGGAACAAGGCGAGTAGAGGAATACACAATTAGTGATAGAACAAGTAAATGATTTGTTGGCAGGTTGGGATGTGCATGAGGATGAGGAGGAAGAATTTCTTTGGAAAGATGAGATAAACGACAAACAGGTGGAGGCGAAGTGGTTGGCGATTGCCAAGGCACATGGCCAAGGGATTTGGTCCTAATGCCCTATACTTAGATATGAAATCAACATCGAACCCTGCCAAGGAGGTCCATTGTGGAATACTGAGGACAACTAATTACATCTTGTCGAGGTTATAGATACGGGGTAGGCCCAAGTATACGAATGACCCAGCAAGGAGCCATAGCCCATCAAGGATACGGCCCAAAAGATCACGGGCCAAGGCGTGTCACCATTGGCCCACCGAAGATAAAGCCCAACATATCAAAGACCAGAGGGATGGCTCGGGAGCAGACTAAGACCCTACAGTCGGATCCTACACCCCCTGACGGGTGACCCTATAGTCGATCTATAAGAAGACGGGGTAGCCGGTTTGTGTTACAGTCAGATGCTACCTAGGATGCCCCACGATGTCTTAATGACTTCAGTTACCCAACGATAACATAATCTAGTTAAATACGTCATTTACAAACAGTAATAGCCTGGAACAGTCGGCCATGCCTGAGGCCATGAATAGCATTGATACCAGCTCATTATGTACCCCATCCTAGTGCACTCTATATAAGCCATGAGGGGAGCACCAGGATGATGGTGGAACATTCACCCTTTGTACCTTATGCCGAGAACTAAGAGCGCAACGGGAGTAGGGTGTTACTTCCACCGAAGAGGGCTCGAACCTGTATAAACCCTTGTATGTACTCCCATTAGTACACCCGACCGCTATTCACATGATTTTTACCCCCAATCGCATGCAGTTTCTGGAACCATGTGCTCGAGTGGGTTGGCGATGAGAGTCGATTGCTGATGGTTAGGAAAATCGTGTGCATTCGACGAACTCAATAACTACAGTTGGCATCCGCCAATCGTGTGTGATTGGTTAATTAAACACGGAGGACTGCCATTGAGAAATTGTGCGTGATAATGCACCAATTACAAACATATTCTTAATAGCAAAATGTATGGGATCATTCAACTCATCGCACACATTTACCAAAAAGAAATCGTTGGAGATTACTCAGGTGATCAAACACAATTCCCTTGTTTAAAACGCGTGGGAATATTTATTCGTCACAAACAGTTTTGTAAAGCTTGATCGTATGTGGTCGTGTTTAACTACACATGGGCTTATATATGTTAACCGTGTGATATACCTCTGTCAGTTTACACGGTTGTTTTACCTTTACCTGTGGGCTTTGTTTTCAACATTGCACATGATTGCGACTCATACGTGTGTGCTCCTTTTTTATTACCGCACACGGCTGGTTATTTCACACCATGTGCGACTACTTGAGATCATTTCAGCATTTCAAATTACCAGCCCCACACATTTGACCAAATACACTGTTTTCAGAAAGCATGTGCGGTACAACATCATCACATGAACATATAGAGCTAAATAATGAACATCATGATATGGTAGTTTTACGGCCACATGAACATAGAGTCAAATTATGATGGAAAATTGTCACGTACGGAGGACAGCACACGTACCAGATGAGTCCAATTCATGTGATGATTTTAATAAGTATTTTGTGCCTACATGGTAGCTTTGTGGAATTTTACCGCTTTCGCGCACCTCTTTTTGTTGATAATCCCTCAGGTAACGCTTTTGCATCATTTATCATCACTGGTGGAAAAAGGGCCTTTGGTCGCGGTTCGCAACTGTCATTAGTCGCGGTTGCGCAACCGCGACCGAACGGGCGCGACTAAAGGCCCCACCCTTTAGTCGCGGTTGCTTAAGAACCGCGACTAAAAGCCCGTCCACGTGGGCGCCAGGTGGCCGTCGGGGCGGAGGACCTTTAGTCGCGGTTCTTCTGGCCAACCGCGACTAAAGGCCGCCGCAGGTTTAGGGTTTTAGCCCCCCCCCCCTTAAACCTGTTTTCTGTTTAATTTGTATTGTTTTATTTCTTTTGTGCTTTATTTTAATTTTGAAGGAGTTTCATATATTCTACGGTACTACATACATGCATATGAATGTACAATTTCAAATAAATTTGAAATTAGAACCAAAAAGAATTCAAGAGGAATATACAATATATATTCAATATCATCGGATGACCATATACAATTTTGAACAAGTTTCCATACATGATTTAATGCATATAAAGTTCTACGTCCTCGTAATAGTGTTCTCCTTTAGGATGGAGGACTTCCCTGCTGAACCATCCAGCTAGTTCCTCTTGAAGTGGTCGGAAGCGAGCTTCTGGACTAAGCATCCACCGGAGGTTATTCCTCTGAGCATTGATATCACTCGGAACCCGCTCAGAGGTGTATCTCCGGATCATCTCACAGACATAGTATCCACATAGATTGGTCTCCGGTGGCTGAATATCCCCAGCATTCTTAGCCTTTAACATTTTGAATTCTAGCTCTTTTTTGAATTCACCGACCTTTGTATCTACGAACCGTCTCGAAACCCTACGAGGCAAAGAAAATTAAATGAACAAGAGAGTTATTAATTAGTTACTTGATATTAGGAAATGAACGAAATAGGCCGATCGATATAGAGCGCAAATGAATGAAAATAATTACTTCTGCAGCATTCTTCTCATGCCGCCCCAAAGCTTTGGATCCATATTCACAGAGTCGTGGACGAGACATGCATCTGCACCAGCCGGTGGGGCCTCCGTGGAAGCCACGCTGCTTCTCCGCTGCTGGCTTCCGAGATCCGCTGGATGATCTTCATGCTGCACCCGAGCTGCATCTCTTTCGGCTACTAGTACACTCATGGTTTTCTTCATCACATCCATTTCCGATGCCAACCGCGCCACAACATCTGCTTCCCGATCCATCTTTCTCTTACGGCTTCTGTAACCGTACGGGTCATCGTTCTGGGGGAACCCTATTTTCCACGGAATGTGCCCCATGCCTCGTACACGTCCTCCGTGTTCAGGATTCCCGAGGGCTTTTGTCAGCGCGTCGTTCTCTCTGTTGAACTTGATCTTCCCCTGTTGAGCATCCCTCATTGCGTTAATAAGGGCTTGGGTGGGTTTAATTAATTTGCCCCGGTAAACACACTCCCCTGTCTCCGGGTTCAGCGTTCCCCCATGCCTGTACCACCAGCTTTTGGCCCTTGGGTCCCATCCCTCCGTACCTGGACGGATTCCTCGCGCCCTCAGCTCGTTCTCCATCTTCTCCAACCTAGGCACCCAAATGCGATACCCTCCTGGCCCCATAACATGATTGTACTCCTTCTTAGCCGCATTTTCCTTATTTTTTCGATATTTGAATGAACTGCTCCGATTTCTTTTGCTTCACAAATTCTGGCCAATCATGTTTCAGTTTCTCATATTGTCCTTTGAAATCCGGAGTCTTGTTCTGCTTGACAAAGTCATGGGCTAGATTTTGCTTGAATTTCCGGAATGCGTCGGCCATCTTATGAAGAGCGAACTGTTTGACTAGCCTCCTCCTCTCCTTGTTTTCCTCAATCTTGTTACCCTCCTCATCGAATTTGTTGTATTCCGGAGGT